CGAAACGGCAAAAGTTCTAGTTCTACGCTAGTTCTCAGCTAGTTAGATTTCCTGCCGGGTAGTTATGAAGTCTTTTCACAATTTAGTGCAAATTACTAGCTAAAGGTTTCTCTTTGCAGTATTTACGCCTCTTTATATTGTTTTTGTTGCATATCTCTAAACTGTGCAGATTTTTCAAGATTTGTGGGAACAAGTGCATGTGGCGAAATTTACTTCTTTTTACAAAATAGTCTTAAATATAAATGCATAGGTACATTTGTGAGTAAAAGCATGCATGCATACATATGTATGTACATAAATAGATTTGCTTGTTTCTATGCACATGCATTCATTTACATACATACATATTTGCAAGCAATTGCCTATATACTCATTCGCCATGTGGTCTGCCGGCCGGTGTAGAGAAATTTGAAAATTTTTCCCACAGTAGGAAAAAAGAAGCTACGCCAAAACGATTCTTTAATAATATCCTTTATTGCGAAGTCATAGAGGCCATGCGAAACCAATGCCGAGTGTTTTAATAACTTTATTATCAAAATAACGCCACATGTTTAATATCTGTTAATATATTTGACCATGGATGACTTACTACTTTGGTTTTAATCGATTCATTTACCGTTGTTTCGTTCTATATGACAAAGAGTTTCTTCGACTTAACTGATTATTGATTTCATTAAATTTCAAAGAGTGAAAAACGATTTTAAAAATTCGTTTGGTTCAAAAGCTGAATTATTGTGGGATGCAACCTCAAAAGGTTTACATTTCCGATAGCGATGCATTTATTAATCTAGACTTTTCGACGCCCCCAAATTCAATTTGCATNAAAAAATTCGTTTGGTTCAAAAGCTGAATTATTGTGGGATGCAATTTTTGAGGTTTACATTTCCGATAGGGATGCATTTATTAATCTAGACTTTTCGACGCCCCCAAATTCAATTTGCATTCTAGGGAGGACAGTACAAGTTCTTATAGCACATGCAACTTTTTTTCGACAAGTAAAACGGTACTTATGTATGTTTCTAGGTTAAACATCAATCTAAGCCAAAATTTAGTTTCACGCAACACCTCAAAGAAACTATACCTCAAATTTTTTTCCTTAATGAGAATGACTATTGTTAACAGGCGATTTCACGAAAGCAATTTAAGTGAAAATTAATTTTAATTTTTTCAATTTTATATGGAAATTGACAGAAAATTAAAAATCATTTTTCATTTAAATTGCTGGTGAAACCAGCTGTAAGAAATATCCTTTTGCCTACTCGCATCTTAATGTATCAACATACATATGCATGCATATACATACATATGTATGTAAAATATTTATTTTTATAATTAGTGCACTTTTTAAATAGTTGACTGAAGCACTCGAATGCAAATTTGTAGGTTCAAGAATTTAAACATGGCCATACATACATACCAGTACATATACATATATGTACATNCATATATGGAAATTGACAGAAAATTAAAAATCATGTTTCATTTAAATTGCTGGTGAAACCAGCTGTAAGAAATATCCTTTTGCCTACTCGCATCTTAATGTATCAACATAAATATGCATGCATATATGTACATATGTATGTAAAATATTTATTTTTATAATTAGTGCACTTTTTAAATAGTTGACTGAAGCACTCGAATGCAAATTTGTAGGTTCAAGTATTTAAACATGGCCATACATACATACCAGTACATATACATATATGTACATACATACATATGCATGTATAATTGTTGATTCTAATTTAGACACTTTAATAAGGCATGAGTAATACTGAATAAAAGGTCATATTAGATATAAGTATTTATATATGAATAAACACAACGATGAAACTTGTTGGCTGTTGAATTTTTTTTACAAGCCAGTTAGGTGCCACTGTTTTTTTTTTACATCCGACGACATTTCCTGCGTTAGATAAGTAACGTATTAAGAAATTTAACGGAAACTGCATAAGCTTGCGTGGTGCATTAGCNAAATAAACACAACGATGAAACTTGTTGGCTGTTGAATTTTTTTTACAAGCCAGTTAGGTGCCACTGTTTTTTTTTTTTTTACATCCGACGACATTTCCTGCGTTAGATAAGTAACGTATTAAGAAATTTAACGGAAACTGCATAAGCTTGCGTGGTGCATTAGCTTTTCTCGAGCAAATGCTAACTCTTTTGTGCTTCAAGTTTCTTAACATAAACGTTTGCGCTTCATTGGAGTAAACTATTATGTGCAATTTTCAGTTAAAGATTTTTTTACTATTAATACCGGCCGGCTTTATATTAACCCTTTTTCATTTTGCCCAGACCACTTTTTCTAATGGCAAAGGTATACACATTTTAACGTATGCACTTTTTAAACACTATTTTTCACAATTAACTTGCACAAATGAAGAAAAATATTATTATCTTTCACTTACCCAGCGTTAGCTAGTTAATTTTTAACACAATTTACGGAATGATGTTGAGGATTTTTGTGGTAATTTTCAGATTTATATAAATCGTTAAAAAATACCTGCCACTTACCTCGAGCACAAAAGTCGGAAAGGCCGATTTTCACAACGGCCCTGATGCACATGCGCTGGAATAGTGCCACCACTACCATTGCCAACATCATCACCACCATCATCACAGGCAGGCAGTACATTTGGTTAAATTGGTATGTATGTGGTGCGCCTACCCTTACCGCCGACATTTCTTAGCCCAACGTCATCCTCATTCGAATGGGGTATGTTAGATGGATGCATTGGCGCACTTGGCATACGTTTGTGTGCATGTCAATAAATCACAGTCGATGGGAAACATGCAACGAGCGAGTGCACTAGCTAACGTGTTGTGCATTCTCTTTACTAGTGCAAGCGGGAACAAGATCTTTCTTTTACCTACAACATTGGATTATCGACGTGTTCATCTCACAGCCCGTATTTTGTGTATTCCACAGGAGAGTGCACGGATTGGGTTTGAATACTAGTGTTTGGGGAGTGAGCGGCATGGATACAAATTGTCGCANGGCCCGTATTTTGTGTACTCCACAGGAGAGTGCACGGATTGGGTTTGAATACTAGTGTTTGGGGAGTGAGCGGCATGGATACAAATTGTCACATTTGTGGCTAAAAATATGTAAATTTCCTAAGTACATGCAAAAAAGAGATGTTAATTTCGCAATGCACTCTCATTAGTACACAGACATATAACGTAAAGGGGTAAGTTAGCAAAGAAGTAGAAATAAATTATAGGAATCTTAATATGTACTACATATGAATAATTTAAAAAGTTATAATATGTGCAGTTTGTAACGGTCTTTAAGTTAAACTTGCATGCCAAAATACATTTTTGAGTTACTATAAAATTTATTTAAAATTAACCCTTATTAAGCTACATTATTATAAATATCTGGCTTTTATAATCATTTCCATTCACTGTCTGAATCGTATTCTTCCCACGAAGGTTTTTCGCCTAGTTTCAAATTGCGTTGCTTTAAGTATGCGTCAAATTGTTCAGGAATCGACATAAACTTTCGAATTTTCATACGGAACTGTTTCCATGTCCACTGTAGATAATTTCGTCTATCTGTTACCATTGCCTTGTAGTTAAATTTATACTTATCCAGGAAATAACTCAAATGATCCACGGAATTTTTAGGTAACCTACGTATACATAATATTAAATAACTTCACTTCAACACAGTTTTCAGCGATATATAAAACTTTGTTTACCTTAACAGTTTTTCTCTTGGTGCATTAGCATCTGCTTCCAACTGCTCGATGACATAGCCTCTTGGGAGATCTGTTACTTTTTCATTTAGTTCCTCCTCGTCCATTTCCTCTTCCACAAACCCGTTTATTATTTTCACTGCCTTTAGACGATTTTGTTTAAAATTTGGAATTGGTACTGCTTTATTGGGATCAGAAGACAAGCCCATTTCATAGAAGTTTTTGTTGCGTTTAGTCTCTATCCATAGTTTTTTCATTTCAGGACTGCAAAATTATAAATGATTGACATATCTAAAAATGTACACAGAGCTTTTATTTACCTTTCAGCATAAGCTGGAGTAAATTTTTGTTATAATTTGTTGAAAAAAAAACCTAAGGTAAAGTCGTCCTTGTTCATGTGATTAGCATGTGCTAAGAAATATTTTTTCGCATTTTCTGACGATCGGGTAATATTGAGTTGTGTCTCTTTTGAAGACGGTGTGTGTATATATGTACATATGCATATCGTTGTCACCATAAAGTAGGAAAATTTTCTAGAATACTTTTTCCCCACATTTACTACATTTTTGAAAGGTCACTAAAGAGTGCTTTTTGAACATTTAAGTTTTCCCTGCCCTTTTGGTGACTTGTAAGCATAACTGCCACAAAACATAATAATGTCGAATACTGTGATCTTAATTCTTGAAATACAGATTTTTTTTTTTTTAATGAACCATGTGGAAATTCAAGCGATAGTGGTGCATATGCCGAGTGAGTTAGCGATAAACCCTTTTTATGGCTTTTTTTACAGCGGATAGTTCACCCATTTTTGGCATTTAACTTGCAACTTTTGTACTAAAAATGGACAGTTCACTGTCGAAAGTGAGTAAACACTACACTGTCCAAACAACTCTGACAATTTAAATATTAATTGAGATTAAACTTCCATAAGCTACACTGGTGTTGCTGGCAAGTACAGGGCTGAACTGCTTTAAAAACGTTTTTTTTTTTTGTTTTAGTTTTTAACAGGTGACGCTTAAGATGGGATGGTTTATGAATTCTTCAGTTGCAATAAATAGTTATAAATATCATTTGCGATGTGCTGTACTATAAAACAAATGAGAAGAACGCCGAGACTTTGATGTAAATTTGAGTTGAGAAAATAACTGAACTGCATGGAAAATTACATATCTATGAGAAGATTTTGCATGTAAGAATAAGAGTGTTCGCTATGCAAAAACTTGTACAAGTTGGTACCAATTGTTACCAAATTGTGTTTGTTTGGCCAAAAAGCCCAGTAAAACTTGCAAGGAGAGAGCATAATTTTGACATTCCATTTGGAGGGGAAGTTGCAAATTCGTGCTGGGAAAACGTTTGCCAGTAAGAATATGCAAGCGGGATTGTGGCACACGGTTGCATTTTTGCCAACATTAATTTGAATCAAAAAGTTCGTTAAACTTAAAAATGAACAATCTTGTTGCGATTTACTAATGAAAGAAGCATGTAAATATTTGTTTATTCAATTAATTTTATATAAATATAAAAAATTTATTATGTTGGAAATGCAACCGTGGACGCCAGCTGGCAGTGAAGCTTGCAAATGTTTGCTAATTCCTGTTCGCACAAAACTCTCTCTCTAAGTTTCTCTCTTTGAGAGAGTAAGATACCTTAATCTCTGAATTTTTTTTACTGACTAATTCTTACTGGCATTTGGATAGCGAACAGAACTTATA